TTTCACTTTCCACGACCAGGGCGACCACCTGATCATCGACCACTTGATGGAAGGGACTGATCCCCTTGGTGACAAGGTGAACCTCGGGATTCACAATTTACAGTTGGTCCAAAACATTGTTGAACCCTGCTTGAGCTCCCAGATACGGGCGACCAGGTTGCCGCGGGTCGCGAGGGATTTCTCCTCAGCGGTTTTGTCCTTAGTAGGGCGTGCAACAACCTCCAAGCAAGTAACCTTAGCCCGGAGTTGGTCCCTCGCCACCTCAACCTTCGTTAGCCTCTCCCGCATCTCGTTCATGTCTTTGAGAAGGAGCACCTGGGCCTCATACTTCGATAGATAGTTAAGAAGGTCGTTCTCCACCTTATTCTTTTTCGTCCAAAGGAGCATATTCTTATCCCGCAAGGCCTTCAGCTCGAAGTTGGGGTTGGTCTCATAGTTGAGGACTAAGGTTGTCTCGAAGACCCTCATCATGGAGGCTATATCCTCGCACAAAGCTTTCCGCCGAGTCACCTTGTTGACGCCCATGATCGCCTTAGACTCTATCGTGGACACGACTAGGGTGTTGTCCCCGTCAAAAATCCCCTGATGGAGATGGCATGGGGATAACACGGACCTTTCCCCGACAACCCCCTCTAAAAGGTTCACAGAATCAAACTCGTCAGTGTGTTGCCTCTTAGACGGGTTCTCTTACGAAGGGAGATACTGGATGCATTGTGGAGATGAGGAGGATCCCCCAGAACGCTGATCAGGCTTGGACATCTGCTGGACCTGGGCGACCCGGTCTTTAGTAGCCTTCTTCGTGCCTATGGTCGTCGTGAGCTTCATCAGGCGTTCCTGGATGCTCAACATCTGGCCTGTAACAAAGAAAAGAACAAGTCAACATATCGAGGAAAAATAAGCAGACACACAATTAAAGAAAACACCCACTAAGCGAGTCGGTCCTCAGCATCCAGATCATCGGGCTTGGTGATATAGTTGTCTGTACCCTTGTCAAAGTGGCCCTCCTGCCACTATAAGGGAACTTTGCTTCCAAAGCTTCCACTTGTCGCCCATTCTCCTGCTTGATCACGAGGTTGAATAGGGAACCAATGGCCGAATGCAACACGGAATTTACAATGATGTACTTGTCCTTAAAAGCACGGATAAAATCCAGGTACGCCCTGAACAACTCCTCGGCTGCTTCAGAGATACCCAACCATGTCGACCCTGGAAGGATTGTCGCTGAATGTGAAAGGTGTGGAAGAACAAGGGGAGCGTGGCACCAACGTATAGATGTTCAGACACGAGCTCAAACGTTCGCATGGACGAGATCGCGTTGGGGTGAAGTTGTGGGGGTACTAAAGCTATCCACTAGAACACCCCCTTTTGGAAGTCACTGAAAGGCATACGAAGCCCTGCTTCTCGGAACGCAAACTTGTACATTGGGAACCATATCCCTTTGAACGACGAGCATATACGGTGCGTCTTTCTGGGTTTGTAGACCATCCAATTTGCAAAGGCCCCATCGAGGAGATCCTCAACATTCGTGAAGGCATCCAAGTCGTTGAAAGCAAAGCGCGAGACGATGTTGAGTGGCTCCTGCCCGGCCCAATCGGATGGCGTGCGGGTTTGTGAGACCTTAACTCCCTCGTCATCCACATCGAGATTGACTTCTTCGTTGATCATGATGAAACCTTCGGGCTTTGCGGCCATTTTACCTAAAAAGCAAAGGAAAATGGTGAATTCGACATCTAAAATCAAATCCACCCTTCCACCACAAATCAAGTGAAAGGGCAAAGAGAGGGGGCGAGGAAAACACTCGACAAACTCCCTCGACCAAAGCCATCACCAAAAAGCATATACCCGAGAGGAGACTCTCCTCGACGCAGACCACAAAACCTCCCCCCGCAGGAGAAAGGTTCCCAGTGCTTAAATTCCCCCCAGTCAAACATGGAAAGTCTCCTCGACTAGAGACTTCCTCGCGGTACTCAAACATCCGTGAGGAGAAAAGTTCCTTGATGTTGAACCCATAAAGGATGCTAAGAGCCCTAGAAGTCCCTGAGACCTTCATCGCAGGTCCCCGAGGCCTTCATCGGGAACTTCATGAAATTTCCCAGAACCCTCATGAACTCCCCGACGTCATCCCTAGAAACTTCATAGGTTCCGCCAGAAACTTCATGAGTTCGTCGAAAACTTCAGGAGTTCGTCAGAAAATTCATCGGAAACTCAAGAAACTCGCCGGAAAAGGCACAAGTTCTAGGAAAGGACATAAGATTTACTTGCGCAAGGACTCTAGAGTTAGACGGCAGAGCAAAAACTGACAGCGACGGCAGCGGCGAACGTTGTGAGAGCAAAGGAAACCTTGAGGAACTTTGAAGAATTCGTGAGCTGGAATGAGGGAGCGTGCAAAAAAATGTCTTCCCTCCATTTATAAACCCTAGTGCGAGAAGCGAGGCGTTTCGTAGGCACTCAAACACCCTACTCGTAGCCGTCATAAGCATTCATTGCTTCTGAAACGTGGCTCAAAGAGCTGTCACACGCGTCCTTTCGCAGTTCGGCGCACCGCTCGAGGGAATGACATGTCCACCCCTTCAACTTACATCGCACCACCGACTTGTCGAGCACAATGTCTGAACCTTACGCTGTTGAGGACACTCCCTCGAGGGAAGTCGAAAAGAAAGTCTCGACCACGTGTGTTGAGCAGACCGAACCCGTCGTCGACCCCGCTGCCGCGGATAATAAATGACGCCTACGTTTGGCGCACGCATCACCCCACAGGCTTGGCACCTTGAGCACGTGCAACGCTCCACTAGGCAAGTCCCTATAACCTTCCTCGACACCAGGATTGACTTAAGTCATTACTCCTCCGCTTCAGAGCAACGACTTGGGGCTCCTGTTTTGGACTAGGCCAGAGGACTGGCCCGCCGTCAGGCACGACCCAACCCAACTCCCCGTCAGGTAGGGCCCAATCCATAAACTCACACGGGAAATGCTCACGCGCCTTTCCCACGGTCTCCACGTGCTCCCCACGCGAGGACACGTCATCAGACAACTACCTGCGCCTGAAAGAAGAGGTCACCCACCTTTCAAAGACCACGGAGCAGTTGACCCAAGATGAAGACCACGGAGCAGTTGACCCAAGATGAAGACCACGTGCTGGTCTTCTCCACGCTACGTAGATCCTGACAGTTATTCGAATTTGGCCTAGTGACCCAATCCAATGCAAAATAACCGTTGGCTCAACGCTGGAGGCACATTATAAATACCATCTTTCACTAAAAGGTCAGATATTATATTCTCTACGTTTTTTTGTACTTGTTTTCTCTCTTCCGCTTAAACTTATTTTAACATCAGAGTGTCTTATAGGTACACCCCCTCCTCTTCTCCACCACCAACGAATTAGGTGCTCACAACGCGTTGCTGACTGCTGATCTCTATCTGATACGATAAGATCAAATAATAATAATAATAATAATAATAATAATAATAATAATAATAATAATAATAATAATAATAATAATAATAATAATAATAATAATAATAATAATAATAATAATAAAATTGTAAAGGTTGGTCTTTTTTGTCCTAAAATAGTTTGCCATGAAGTAAAAAAGTCCTCCGAATTAAATAAAGTCATGAAATCATTGATGTGGTATTTTTGTTAGTGAAAAATATAGAGTATGTTGTAATGTACTTGGTAAATACATATCTGACAAATACACATGTTAAATCAATAAATAAATTCTGAAGATTCTTTGCCCCTTAATTGTAAGAGAAAGTGGTAAAATTTAAGTCAAACCATTAATCATTTAATGTATATTTTTTTATTATAAGTTATTTTTGACTTTTTACGCGTATTAAAAAATATAATAATTATCATATGAAAAAAGAAATTATAAAAGATTTTATAAAATTATCCTTATTAATTATATTGAAAAGACAAATTTACATAATTAAAAAAAAAGAAAATAATAAATATATAAGAGTATAATAAAAAAATAGCATTAATAATTTATTAATGTTATAAAATAATTTATATTGTAGTTAATTTTTTCTCAAAGTAAATTATAATAAAAAAACAGAGATAGTATTATTATACTTTAATTTATTGATTATAATTTTTAAAATAAAATAAGCAAAATAATTCTTCGTTATTTACTAACTTAAGTCCTTAAACAAATACAATAATCAATATAATTCTAATATTAAATATACACACAATAAATTAAATTAAATATGAATTAATTTAAACTAAAATTTTTTCTTGCTTATCCCTTGGTAAATTGAGATAATTTATCTAAAATGAAATGACCAATAAAATCAAGTACTATGGAATCACTTTTAATCCCCGAGTAGTTTTTACTACTTTTAATTTCAATTAATTATATTTTATATTATATTTAAATTTGTCAATTTTATATTTTTAAATTTTATTCCTACTCAATAAAAAAAACTAATAATTGTTAAAAACTTTTTAAGTCTCAATACTATTATTTAGTATTCTATTGTGCAAATGAAAAACAAGATTTGTCTTATAGCAAAACATAAACGTGCGTGGACCATGGATTCTCAAAACCAATTTTCCACCTCATAAACTTCCTCTCCCATACTCCACATAGTGCATGTTATCTATTTTGTAGCTACTATCATTTGTTTGTTTCCCCTAATTACCTTTCAACAATTCATAATTCAAAACTTGAACTTAATCAACACAATTCTATTTCAAGTGGTCCTTTAATCCTAGTCCAATTAACTGTATTATTCATTTTAAACTATGAAATACAGACACCCCGATCCGATCATGATCCTGACATTGATATGGTAACACTGATAATAATTTAAAAATTTGAATAAATTAAATGTAATCACAAACGTTGGTGCGTGTCTGACACGGAAACTGATATGGACACGTTTTTCCGGTGTTACATAGATTTTAAACCTTCTTATCTACACTCTATTATTAGCAACAGTTATAAACCATTCTGAATTATTGAACTTTTTCCATTATCCTCTCTAAAACAATGGCTTCCATAAGCCATTTCCTCCTCATTTTCACCTCCTTCTTGAATCTAGCTTTTTCATCTAGTGAAGTTCCAATCAATGTAACCAAACACTTCTCCTTCAAGGATTTCAGTTTCACAAACAACTCAAGATTAGTCCATGATTTAAAGCTTCTAGGAAGTGCAAAATTCTCAAATGAAAAAGGTTCACTTCAAATCCCAAATGAGTCACAAGAAACAGGTATAAGACATCAAGCAGGTAGAGGTTTATATTCCTTCCCGATTCGTCTCTTGGATCCGATTACCAAAACTCCGGCTTCTTTTCGAACCACCTTTTCATTTCAGCTTAATAATTCAACTACTGGTGCTTCTGATTTAAGTGATAATGGTGGAGGTAGTGGACTCACCTTCATTATTGTGCCTGATGAATTCACTGTTGGAAGGCCGGGACCTTGGCTCGCTATGCTTAATGATGCTTGCGAGAGCGATTATAAAGCGGTTGCAGTTGAGTTTGATACAAGGATGAATCCGGAATTTGGTGATCCGAATGATAATCATGTTGGTATCAATTTAGGTAGCATAGTATCTACTAAAGTTATCAATGTTTCGGATGTTGGTGTTTCGCTTAAAGATGGTTTTGTTCACCATGCTTGGATTGATTATGATGGTCCTAGAAGGAGAATGGACGTTCGTCTTGGACTTCCGAACGATGAAGTTTATCCTAGTAAGCCTATCTTCTCGGAGTTTATGGATCTTTCGCCTTATCTGAACGAGTATATGTTTGTAGGATTCTCGGCTTCGACGGGTAATCATACACAGATTCATAATATACTTTCTTGGAACTTTACATCGATTAGTCAAGCTTTTCTTCGCTACCCTTCGTCTGAAACATGTCAAGGTAAGATCTTGCTGCAGAATACTACAGAAACAACAGAAGCTACCGAGAATTCTAATAGGAACAAAACTCCACGGAGCTTTTTGATTTTTGTGGCTTCTGTAGTATTGGCATTAGCTGTTTTAATTGGTTTTTACTTTATCAGTAAGCATAGAAAAAGTGCTTCTAAATCAAAGACTTCAATAGAGGACGAGATTCATCGGCCAAGGCCTCCGAACAAACCGCGCAGATTCAGTTTTTCTGCACTTTCCTCTGCTACTAGATCATTCAGCGAGATAGAGATACTTGGAAGTGATATTAGAGGAGTATACTACAGAGGAAAGCTCGGTACTAATGGAAGCCAAGTAGCTGTGAAACGATTCTCAGCTCAGTTTCTCAGCACACACGGATCGGATAAGAAGCGTTTGTTGAAAGAAATCAAAGTCATTAGCCATGTTCGCCACCCGAATTTACTTCCTATAAGAGGCTGGTGTCAAGACAACAATGAAATTATTGCAGTCTATGATTTTGTCCCTAACGGAAGCCTCGATAAATGGCTGTTCGGAGCAGGAGTTCTTCCGTGGACGCGACGGTTCAAAGTCGTCAAAGACGTAGCCGACGGATTGAGTTTCTTGCACAGTAAGCAACTAGCACACAAGAACGTGAAATGCAGCAGTGTGTTTTTGGATGTTAGTTTCAGAGCTGTTTTGGGAGATTTTGGATTTGTTCTAATGGGAGCAGAATCAAAACAGTTTGAATCAATAGTGTGTAATAGTGCTGATGTATTCGAGTTCGGGGTGATTGTGTTGGAAGTGATAGGTGGAAGGCCAAGGGTGGAGGAAGTAGAGGAAGGAAGATCAGAAGAGAGGAACTTATTGGATTTCGCATGGAACTTACATGAAACAAATGAGAAAGTGAAACTTGTTGATAGACGAATGGGGTCGTTGATCAATTTGGAGCAAGCGATTCGAGTAATGGAAATCGGTTTGCTTTGTACATTAAATGAGAACAAAGGAAGACCTTCCATGGAAGAAGTTGTGGAGCTTCTTCATAACATGGAGAAGCCTCTCCCTGAGTTACCAAGAACCAGACCTGTTACTTTGTTTCCTTATAATAGTGCCAACACTGGGCTTTGCAATAATTACTCTTGCACTTTGAAGCTGTGATGATGTTACTGGAAGATGATGATTTATGAATAAATATTGATTTTCCAAATGTAAGTGAATGTTGTAGATTTTGATTGATGTGTGATTGTGAAGATAGGAGATGAATATTGTAATGCATTGTTATTCTTGGGGGGTGTAAAGATAGGTTTTGTGAATATGGGCTAGTGCAGGAGAAAGGGTGATTGATTATGTTTTGAATTTCAGTATGTTTTAGCATTTCTTTGGAAGCTTCACAGCATCTATGGAGGATGTGTTATGAGTCTTCTTGTTTTGTTATGTTGCAAGTGAAATTTGGTTATTGTTGGTAAACAAGGGGAAAAAAATCAGCTTTATTCTTCTATTATTATATTTTATTGGGAAAACGGACCTGATTTGGATCCAGCTAGCCTTTCTTTGAAAACATAGTAGACTTATCTCACTGAACAAAGAAAGAACTTCATAATCTCAATGGAGGTTTCCTTGGGTTTGATAGCCATAAATTATAAAAACAAACGACAGAGTGCTCTACAAGTTTATAATTAGTTTATAAATGAGAAAACCAGAAGCTATATCCTATCTTTACCACACATACTAGTAATTAGGCAGTAATATAGTTATTATTACATTAAACACAATGTTAAAGAAAAAGTTATACTCAGTCTCGACAATTGCAAAGGTACTCTGCTTAACATCCATTCTGCCATGCAAAATTGTTCGAACTTCATTGGTTTTGGTTTCCCTGATACATTCGTCTGATACATTCGTCTTATCCACGGTTTTCTGTGGCTTGGGATTACCAACATAAAGCATGAAACAAGGCAGGAATATAATCCAGGCTGTAAGAGACAAAGATTGCCTATAGTTCTTAACTACACACACCACCACCCGCAAGCTGTAAAAGACAAATGTTCATTGACGAAAACAAGGCATATTGATGAAATCAAGGTACAATCGTACCATTGTTATCAAATAGAGATTCAAATAGTGATTCGATAGTCCTAGTCCTATTTTCTGAACCATGAATCAAATCTTAACGAGTCGTAAGATGCACTTACCAATAAAGAACAAGCAACATACCAAACATGTACGCTAATAGTAATACATCATCTACTAATCTCAAAAGTATTCAAGATTCAAATGACAAAAGAAAGTGGTTTGTGAAGCTTTACCAGTAAAAACAAGCAACATAGCAAACCTATAAGCTAATACAACATATACTAATCTCAAAAGATTCAAGATTCAAATGACAAAAGAAAAGAGGTTTGTGAAGCTTTAGTATAACACATAAAACAACAATTTAGCAGATTGAATCGGGATTATTCATCATGATGAGTTGACATTCAAGACGAGATTCATGTCCAACATAGATACATATACTAAAGCTTTGTATCAATTGTGTCCATTTTTGTATCAAATTGGGTAACCATTGATTCACATGTATTGTAAGATACCAAATACAATGCATTAGACATTGAAAAGGAAATATGCATAAATTGAATTCAATAACAAATTTGGTAATTTCAGCACATATAAAATTGTATACATCAAGTATAAGAATTGGTCAAATGATCAATATTACAATATAAACAAAAATACACATCCCCAAATCCCCTTAATACACCCGAATAATAAAAAATGAGAAAAAGAATTGTCATGTTACCTAAACCCAAACCCAGAAGATTATACAAACACACAACAACATTCTCATAATTACAGAATCTCCAGTGGCGAAACTAAAAAAACCCGAACAACACAGAAAACCCTAACACGATGAGCCATACAATGTGAACCAGAAGTAGAGCCTGACCAGGAAAATTCGCGGATCCACCATTCCCCACTTCACAGAAACCCAATTTAGCAACCTTAGCTCCGGCGCAGGCGGCCTCGGAGCAACCACACCAATATGTAACCCCGTCCGCACCGCAAACCGGATCCGTACGGAAGCATTTCGCCGGACAAGACGACAGCGTTGTTCCGGAACACATGCCGTGTTCTTCGGTGGCCGACGGTAACAGGAGAACGGATGAAGACTCTTCGTGTTCATGTTCTGCCGTTGTAAAGATGGGGAAGATGATGCAGAGAGCGAAGAAGGTGAGAATGACGGAGCTGAATTTCCGTGAACGGAGATGAAGGATTTGATCGGAGAATTTCGCCATGAGTCGTTGGGGGATAAGCGAGCAGCGGAGGCTCGCCGTGCGAATCCGGGGACTCAGGGAGGGGTGATTTCGGGATTCGGAAGAGAATGTGAGGGAATTTGGAGATTGGGAATTGGAAATGGAATGAACCCTAATTTAGGAAATTGGGGGTTTTGATGAAAATGGGAGAGAGAGAAAGAATCTTCGTTGCCGTTTAAAAGAAGAATGTGTTTTTTAGTGAGAAAATGTATTTACACCTAATTTTAAAATAAAAAATAAAAAATGAAAATAAATGTGAAGCTTCTCTTTTTTATGTTGAAAAGTTCAAAATAATTTCTCAGACAAAGAAAAGTTCAAAAAAAAAAAAAAATAGTAGTACGCGTTAGAACGTATGGTGGTTAAAGTTAGTTGTGATATGGGAATATAGTAAGTGAGAAGATGCCACCTAATGACCTAATCATTTTCTTCCAACTACATATTCACCTATTAATTTTATTTACTGAATAAATTTGTTTGTTTATTTCTTTTGATCAATTTTTACATGTTTATTTAGACATATTAAAAAGTACATAATAGATAAAGTATTAAACATTTTAATTTAGTGTGTTTGTCTTAATTATAATTTTTTTTAAATGATATTTTTATAAAGATAAATAAAGTATTATACATTTTTATTTTATGTGAATATGTAAGTAGTTATTATTTTTATTTTTAATTTATAATTAAAAATTAATTACAAGAAAAATAGAAATATTACTTTATAAATTTTATGTAAATATGTAAGTAGTTATTCCTTACGTCATAAGTTATATGACATTTTTGTATATTTCACACAAATTGAAATATATAATAAATATTATATAAGAAAGAAAAATTATGAATGACTTTATAATATTGCATTTATTATTGATAAAGAAGAAGTTTATAGAAAAATATAAAATCTACTTTTTTAGGAAAAAAAATTTTAATTTGATATTAATTAATTATAAAAGAAATTAATTAGTTGTGAATTATGTATAAACAATTTCTTTACTTATAATTTAATTTTAAAAAATAAATTGGTTTACTTATATATTGAGACAAAAGAAGTAGTCTTGTAGGAGAGAAGCATCTAACATGAACAACTCTGTAACTTTAAAAACGAATATTATTTAGTTAAGAATATATTTTTCTAATATAGAAATATTATTTTATCTTAAAAGTAACACTTTGAATAGCATAATACAATCTTTTCAACATTTAAAAAAGAAGCACATAACTATTTTATTTTTGAAGATCATGTGTTTATTTATATTTTTAGTGTTTAAGTTTTTTTTTTCTTTTTCTTTTAGGTACTAAGTTATTGTTAAGTTTTATTGCTTAACCAGAATCACTAAACTAGCAAACAAAACATGTCCATCTTTTTCTTTCTGAAAATAATTGGATCATATGACGTTGGATTCCATTTGACAGACCTAATTGTGCTGGCTTCTTTGTTCATATCCTTAAATTAATAATAAATTAAATGTACTTTTTCGAGAATACTTTATTTTTACACTTAATTTCTAAAGTAATTTCTAAATTTAGGTCTATTAAGTACTTTTGTTATTTTTTTATGTATTTTGAAAATGAAGCAGAGGACAAAGTAAAATTGTTCTTGAGTGTCCATCATGTTGAAAATACAATGGCCTGTCAAACAAAGCTTTCAAAACTTCTAACACCACAAGAAACAATATCATATGTTTGGTTAGATGGAACATGGTCATGTGTACCTAAAATGAATCATCACTCATGTTTTGTCGCTGAAGACAACACACCTATAGTCAAAATGAATTAAGTTTTTATAAGAAAAATATTCCACACAAAGTCCATGAGAACTTGATGTGTTTTACTTTGTTTTGCAGCCCCTTTTACCACACATTCATCACCACTTTCTTTATCGATAATGATATTAAGAGATGAACAAGACTTCACATTTGTGCCACAATTTGTTCAAGAAACACCACCATCACAACGAGACAAACATCTATCTATTGGTCCATAAAAGTGAGGCACATTCGGTAGTTCCTATCCATTTTTTTAGATCCATAGATAGAACTATTGAATTGTTGAGAGCCAGGTTCATCAAAACCCTTTTTTCCAAGCAACCTCAAGCCATCTTTGGAGTGATGGAATATCAGGAACAAATCCTAAATAACCAAACAAAATCTCTTTACCTCTCTTTTTTCTCCAATAAATATAAGCTAAGTCAATAAATATTAGCTAAGTATTTGGATGTTTTATGCCAACCGCAACCTCATCTAACATCCTCTAACTCGAGATTTTAGAAATAATCATTATAATCTGACAAAATATTTTATGAGTTTCCACCTTAAGATTCCAAACAGTTCCTCAATAAGTTTATCAAACTACCATTAACATTGTGAAACTCGCCATTTAATTCTTGTCTGAGGGTTTGATAGATGTTTTGTCCAAGAGGTCTAACGCCTTGACTGAAAGATTTGTAGTCTCATCAGTCAGGCTCTATATAATTTCTGCTAAGGGATTAAGATCTTTCAGGTTATCTAAATTCCCCGTCTGAGAGACTTAAAGTTTTCTCGAGATGAACAAACATATAACCAAACATATGAGACTTAAGAGACTTAACCTTAAGTCTTATATAGGATTGATAGAAATTACGTATGAGAGGTTCAATGTCTCGCCTGAGCTACTTGTAATCTCATCAGCAAGGCTTCATATAATTTTTCTTAAGGGACTAAGATCTCCTAGGCTATCAAAATTCTCCGCTTGAGAGACCTAGAGTTTTCTCATATAGGACCAAACATATAAATCTCATCCAAGGGGCAAGACTAGAGTCTAGCCTAAGAGACTTAGCCTTAAGTCTTGTTTGAGGACTTGATAGAAGTCCTGCTTAAGAGGTCAAATGTCTCACCTGAAGGACTTGTAGTCTCATCAACCAGGATCCATATAATTTTTCCTGAGAGACTTGTAGTCTGATTAGCCAGACTCCATATAATTTTGCTTAAGGGGCTAAAATCTCCCGAACTTTATAAACTCCCCACCATAGAGACGTAGGGTTTTCTCGGGTGGGACCAAACATATAAATCCCGCCGCCAACACATAATTTATAAAATATGCGGAATAATTTACTTAAAAGGATGTCACATTTTCTCAACATAACTTCTTTCTCAAATCATATTATAGCAGCGGAAATAAAATTAAACATTTAACGCAACTTTGATTGTCACATAAGTAGAAATCACTTCATTTAATCATAAAATGTTCAATTAAACAATTTGAAAAAATAAAACATAATACGACATTCTCAACCCGGTGTTACACTATTAGAGGAACACATAGAAACTGAACAATGCAAAAAGATTTTTTAAAAAAAAAGCCAACTACGTCGTCCTCCAACTCAAGCAACATCTAAAGCCCATTTACCTTAATATTTACACCACAAAGGTAAAGAATAACACAAAAACACATTCCATGTATTAGCGGTGCGTAAACAATAAAGATAGAACAATTAGCATAATTAATCAATCATATAATTCATCCGCGACAATAGTCATTCACAAATGCAATTACGTATGCAATGTATTGATATCTTATCTACTCTAATGCACGTGGTGTCAAAGTAGTGGATGTCAGAGGTATGTTACTGATTAATCCACTTGTCACTAGTTCCTCTTTGAACCTAAGACTCATCACTAGTTCCTCTATGAACCAGAAACTCGTCACTAGACCAAAGTTAAAACTCGTCACCGGTTCCTCTCTTACCCTGAAACTCGTCACTGGACCAAAGTTCTAACTCGTCACTGGATCGAAGTCATACCTATCTCTGATATACATGATGCATGAATGCGACAAAAAAAATCAATACTCGTCTCAAACCTCCAACTTCAATACTCATCACAGGTCTCTCTCTAAACCTAAAACTCGGCATGAACATCGCCAATACAAGGCCACAACAATAGTTCCTCTCTGAACAAAACATCACAACATAACTCAGCAATTTCATCGTAACTCAACATAATAATTAATTTATATAATTTCTCGACAATACTCAACAACATCGAGTATTCAACAAGGCATGTTCATAACAACAACATAAATCACAATTAACTCTAGCAATTTTTATTCAAAGGTTATGAGTTACAAGCATATCCTTTACGACCCTACTTTAACTCAATTATTCCTCAAACTCAACTCTAAACATGTCAGTAACTCAAACTCAACTCTAAACATATCAGTAATTCAAACTCAACTCTAAACATATCTAACTCAACTCTAAATATATCAAAATCAATTATAAACATATTAAATAACTCAAAATCAACTAATTTAATTCTCAAACTCAACTCTAAACATTTCAAACTCGACTTTAAACATACCAGTAGCTCAAACATAACTTTAAACATATCAGATTTAACTCTAAATATATCAAATAACTCAAACATAACTATAAACATATCAAATAACTATAGAAACACGAAATATGAGACATATGACACAAAATCGAAAACGACTCAAAACTCGCCGAACAAGACCACGAAACATGTTGCCTCTGCTCCGGCAACCGCCGCCGCCTTCTGGTTTGAATCAATTTTGATTTTCTACCTGATTCTGTATAACAAATGATACCGTACAATACCCAATTTTGTACAGTACCCGATTTCGTACAGCCCCCGATTTTTGACTTTTTTAAAACTTTTTTGGTGTTTTGCAATTTTTCTCTCTGCAATAGTTTCAGACTTTTATATTTTCAATTTTATGGTGGTTCAAACTCAAACATCAACACTTACTCATCAAAAACGACATTTGCTCATCACAACTCAGAATGTATCAATCACAAAATCTCAACACATATCATATCGATTAATAACATCCATATCAAATTGAGAATTTTATGGCATCAATCATAATATTTTAACAAATATCATATCAATTTCAGCAATTAAGAGAGAACGAAAATTAGGATCAACAACGACAACCTAAAGAGATTTTCCACAAACCCCTTCAAGGTTTAATTCATTAAT